CATATCTGTGCAAAAAGAAAATTGATTGCCCAGTTTAAATAGATAAATAAATCATGCAATTTTGAACCTATGCATTCTGAAATGTATTTATATAGTTAGGATTCAGGTGATGTATTGTAAACAGTACCAACATTTGTGTGGATTGACTTTAAATAAGAAAAAGAGCCAAAGTAGATGGCCAAACATTTATCAGTTGGATCCAAACATGTTATGGAAATGTTAATGATATAAGCCAGGGTTATCCAACCTTGGCAACTTTCAAGACTTGTGAACTTCAACTCCCAGAATTCTCTAGAATTCTAAAAATGGAAATGCATAAGTCCTAAAGTTGCCAAGGATGGATAACCTGATATAAACTATGATTTAACATTGATTCAGTATAAATAGATGTCTGTTGCATTTGCATTTTAGTAATTATACTGTACTATTTAGATACATCTGATAACATATGTTCACAATTTGTCTTTAATTTCCTTCAGGAGAACTTGACTTCCATGTAGTAAATGCAGCCTTAGCTTTGGATTTGGCATTCTCTTTACTTTGTGAACTGCTACAACTATGGGGACAGACCGGTGCTGGAGTTTCAGTCTTACTGGAATGGTTGCTAAAAGAAGATGACCTGAAAGATCTAAAATCTACAATTGTGGTAAGTCTGTCAACCAATAGTTCATAGATGTTTTTTCATATTTTATGCTAAATTACTTGAGACATGTTATTTTAAAATGTGGGTGAGTGACAAAATCTGTAAATTACTTACTTCGATGAAGAGGCTGAAGAGTAGAGGGGAGGAAAGAAAGAAAATCCCTGTGGTCAGTCTTTCTTTTCTGGGTTTCATGAACAATAGGGTGCTTGATGTTATTCTGTTGTTCAAATATGATATTAATTTTATTGATTTGACTAGTCTGATTTTACTGTACATCTAACACTGGTTTGTTTCCTTATATGTCATATAGGCATTCATTCTTGCATGTTTATTTGGTCTAGGCAATTGTAAACTTGTTTTTTTTTTTTCTGAAGATGGGAAATGACTACCTGTTTGACAAAGGACAAGCAAATTTTTGGGCTGAGAAGTTAACGGAGGTACGTCAGCTCAGTAAACATCTCCTTCTGCTCATACCAGTTACACATGTTAGTTCATGTGAGCAAAGAAAACTCTATCAGTTGGCAAGATTAGCATCAGATCAGGCCCAGCTTGTGACACAGCTTCTTAAAGAATTGCCTCCAACTCCAGAATTTTCTCAGTCAGTAGAATTTACGAAGTTGGCTATTCAGAATGAAAGAATATTGCTTTGCCTTAAGATACTAAGTTTGCTTGAAGTTGGAAATGGAATTTGCAAAAGTTAGGAAAAACCTGAAACACAGCTTATTCATTGTCAGTTATCAAATGTAATTGCTTTGTGAACACGAGAATGGGTGCAATTATTTTTTGTGTCATACATATGCAAAAAACTTCATGTAGAAATGTTAGATATTTCTTGTACATAAATCCACTGAAGTCTTCATTCAAATTAACAGAAAAGGGACCATCTTGTGAAAATGTGTAATTTTTGAGGCAATAATATTTTTATAGCTACTGCAAACAGTGAAAATGATTTACGGTAACTGCACAGATGCTGGTCACCTGTGAAACTTTATTCTGTAAGTTCTTCCTGTTTTCATGTATAGGAATATGTTAGATTGCAATTGCTTCTTTTAATTGTGTACCACAGTCTGTGCACTAACAATTGCATCAGAGTTGTAAAAGAATCCTAAAATAAAGCTGAATGTTATCAGTATCAAAGCAGACTAAGTTTTTTTTTACTTTTTAAAATCATGATTGATTTTTAAGACTTGATTAAGGAGTAAATACAGAGAAACAGTCAAATATGTTTTATAATACTAACATAGGATGGATAGTCACATATAGTTCTCAAAATATAACTTTCAATTTCACACTATGGAATAATTCAGCTCTAATTTATTATAGCATTTTGCTTTGCAGAATTTTTCAGGAATTGTGTTAGAAGTTTTCTTTAGACAGTAACCCAACCTTCACTTTGAAAATGTTCTTTACCTGTTTTACATTGCTTAACTGAAATTATTTATCTTTCTATATGACAACTTTCTGCATTTTAAGTACAATATATTTGTTTATAAATACTTGAAACAGGCCATTAGGTGGTGCTATAATACTGTTTTGTTAAACAGCCATTGCCTATATGTTTCCTTAAGTTCAAGATAATATTAGAAAACTGGAATATTGTGCAAGTAAATGCATCTTCAGTGGACTAATATGCATCTGAACAATTGTTTTACACACACACTCCTCTGACTCACAACATCATGAGTAAAAAAAAAGTTTATGGAGAATAATTTATTTATTTAGAAAATGTATATAGCCGCTTACTCACAGCGACTCTAGGGGGTTTGCAAACAATAAAAACACAGAATACAAAAAACAAACAAACAAAAATAAAACAATACATCCCCCCCATGACATCACATAGTCAAATAAGCCATTTGATGGCCTCCATCCCACTTTCCCCAGGCCCACTGGCAAAACCAAGTCTTCATAGCCTTACCTGAATCATCAGTACTGTTTTCCTAAAAGTGCTAGTTCTCATATGAGTAATGAACCTATAGACTTTTCTAAATGTTTAACATGTCCAACTGGTTTCCAGTGATAGGAGTAAAAGAAATGATATTGTATTAAATGTACTTAGACAAAATAAAAGAGAAAAAAAGGAAGTATATTCACAGATTTCTAATAGGATTTACCTGAAGGCGTATAAAATGCAACAAAAGATAGTTGAACCGTTGTTATACACTATACACTCTTTTCAGTTATATTCAATTTATGTAAAGTTGATTTCCTGAATGTGAATTTTCTAGGCTTTAAACTTTCATATAATTGGCAGTCCCTGCATGGACTTGGCATTGCAGATATTGACAAAGCAGGAAAGAGCACAATAGTTCAAACCTAAGTGGCCTTAGCAACTTCAAGTCTTGGTTAATTAGTAAACAAAAATAATGTTAAGACACATCCTTATCACTGGATTTAAAGTATGTTTTAAACCATCTAATATCCCTTTAGTTTATGAATAGCAAATAATTGTACACAATTCTATGTGCATTTCATCATACTGTGAGTTACTGTATAACTTTTCAATCAGAAACCTTTAAACCTTAAACAACAGTGGTAAAAGAACAAAAGTCTATTGAGTGGTTTCTGTGTAAAGTATTTATTCAGAGCGTGTTATCTTACATATTGTTCAACTGTTGATTACAGGTCTCTTAAAACTGAAAAGGGAAGGGGGCATTCCCTAATAAGAATTAACAACTTTGAATATGTATTTTGTCTCCCCAGATCCACAAAATATCTGATAAATGTATTTAATAAATATTTTAGGAAAATCCTTTTAAGACTGCAATTTTATATAGTGAATTGCATGTAGCAGAGATCAATAGTCTTTTACGTCAAAAGAGACAGCAAAAGACTGCTGTTGAATAACTTATGAATAAATATGTATAACTGGGTGGAGACAGAAAACAAAATTGTCTGGGTATTATTACGGAAAATAAAAGAATTATTTTAAACCGGGAGGGACCTTCCCATTTCCCCAGCGAAGAAGCGAAGTCTACTGCAGTTTTGCAACCTTGGGATGATGTAAAGACTCGCCACTTCCTCCATTTAGGAAGTTTGCTTTCACTTTACAGGATGCAAGCACAAGGGGGCATCCCACCTTTCCTAACTACTACTCGTTGGTACGCGAAGCTGTCACGTCCACAGCTTGTTAGCAGAGCAATTTCGAAGCCTCCGCCTGCTAACTGCCCAGGCGTTTGGCTCAAAGGTTAATTCGGCCTCTTTCTCTCCTCCCCCCCCCCCCCCCCCCCCCCCCCCCCCCCCACACTTGGTGCGCTTTAGTGGCCGCCCGCTGGGGAACGCTCGCACTTCGACTAGCGTAGCTCCGAGACTGACCTTTCACTTGTCTCGGAGACGGCTCGGAGGATATTTCTGTTGCGCAGCCATTTAGCAACAGGAGTTACTTGAAAGGCGCCCTCTCCTCCCTCCCGACAAGAACGACGCACGGCGCCTGCTTGGCCGAAGGGATAGTCCAAGCCGGGAGGACCGGGGCGAGGTGGGAAGAAAGAGAACCTGGGCAGCCAATGGCCGCGGTAGGAGAGGCGAAGGTGCAAAGCCCAGACCCGAGGGATTCTTGAAGCCGGCATGTACGGCTTTGCCACTGAGACGCCCTGGATTGGAGGGAGTGGCCCCCTTTCTCCAAATGGACGGACGGTCCATCCGCTGTATTTGCAAACCGGGGGAATATGGGACACTACCCCCCACCCGCTCCTCCTACTGATACCCAGCAGTCCGCCCGCCAGCCATTTAGTAAAACGCAGGGCTCTTCTTGCGCTGATCAGTTCGATCGGAGGTAGAAGGGGGGGCTGAAGGAGAGAAAGGCGTATATTTCTTACAGCGTTTTAGGCTATTCGCTAGTCGAGCTATGTCTAATTTCTAATTCGCTTGGGATAGGCTTAATTGTATAAAGAGCTGGGATTGGGGAGACGGATGTTACTTTTCCTGCAAGAAGGGCCGCGCTTTGCTTTCACTAATGTTAAAAGAATCACAATTACGCGGGGGCGCACGTACACCAGCTCCCATAAGGAACGACGGATAGGTTGATTCAGGAATTTTAGCGGGCTTACGCTTGCAAAGACAAGCAACAAAGACATGTTTCTTAACTCGGTGCAAATCTCAGTTTAAAGCTATTCGTTTGATAAACAAGCGCAGGTTTTCGCCGCCGCGGCGCATTCGTTACTGGGTCAAGAGAGCTGGGAAATCAACTCGGGAGAGGAAGAAGGACCAACCTCCCAGCTTCAGCCCTTCTCCCTGAAAGCCCAAAGGGGCGGGGCTTGACGGCAGCGAACGCCCGAACGTGGCTCCGCAGCTGTATGGCGTCAGCCCGCCCCGCCTCCCCGCTCTTTGCCAGGCTCCTCAGCGGCGGCCTTTGTCGGGTTGAGCGCAGGCAGAGCTTGAGGCTGTGTGTCAAAGGAGAGAGCTGGCTTGGCCAATCGCATCACAAGACCTTGAGTGGCTGCCAAGCCTGCCAAGTAAACGGTTGCGGGGCGGCTGCAGGGAGAGGGAGCGGGGCGGGGGGGATCCCCTTTTCACAAGGAAAGGCGAATCCAGCAGAGGGGAAGGGAGTGCTCTCTTCGCCCATCGTCGGCTCTCTAACCTTAACATGCGCTTGCGGGCAGCAATGGAGCTCCTGCCCCATCGGTTGGCCCGAAACGATTCGTTTCCAAAACTCGTCGCGTGGCACAAAGGTCCTCGGAGGGAGGAAGAGGAGGAGTTGCGAGGCATCCCATTTGACCCGTAGGAGCCTTGAAGTTTGTCCTGCTTCCCAGCGATCTTCCCAAACGACCCAGCAGGGGTGTGAAAAGGGCTGCAAATCCCCGCGCCGTCCTGTATTTGAGAACTTTCGAGCTGTGCAAGGAGCGGCGGACTTCGGGCAGAGAGAAAGCGTTGAATAATGATGGGTTTCTTTGCACGTCAACCGCCCATCTCCCCACATTAAATGACGTAACGAGACAATTGTGCCACAGTACTGGGTGCAGTTACCGAACCTAGATTGTTATTCATAGATCTCTTTCCTAACTTGGAGTTAGAAGGACTAATTCGTAAATATCCACAGGATTGTACCTCAGTTCAGTCAAGTCCTGCCCTTTTTTTCACCGACTTTCTGCCCTGTCTGGCTTAGCAGGTGCAACAGCCACGCTAAATTCTTGTACGGCGCGTTTGTAGTTTGCCAGTGGTTAACCTCATGGGAGTTCCCTGAGCACATGGCGGTTATTATAGTTCTTGTGGGAACCAGCCCCCCAATTATATTAAGCCGTTTGTACGCTGAAGTGCACTGTGCGAAAGTAAGTCGGCTTCACATGATGTCTACCCTAAAACATTTTCTGTCGAGAGAAGGAGCTACACGCTGTACGTTGACAGCATTCATTGCAGCGCGCGTAGACAACAGTGCTTTCTCTATGCGAGTCAACAAGCTTTCAGCGCGTGCCTAGTACTGCAGGGACTGAAGGGGGGGAAACTGCTCCGCTCAGCCTTCGTATGCGGTAACCGTACAGGCCTCCCCACCCACCCTCACCGAGGTACTTCAAGAAAATTGGCGGCGCCCAATGAGAGAGCGTAGACTATAAGGGGCGGAGCTAAGCTGGGAGGGAGGAGAATCGTTGGGTGGTGTTGCTGGGAGACCCCGGCCGGGTCAGTGTTCCGTCCCTCCCCGCTGTTATCCCGGCATTTATATATATATGGGGCGTGTGCAGCTGCTGCGAAGTTCCAGCAGTCTAGATAGCTGTGGCTTTGGTTGAGTCTGTCTGGGAAACTGATGAGATTAATTCCGATCTCAAGCAGTTAGCCCTTTCCTATTCAGTCGTGGCGCATCCAAAGCTCCCGAGGAAAGTGGGATCTTTCGGTCCTTCCTGCATTTCCGACCATTACAGGATCTAGAAATGTCTACAACACTTTTATCTGCCTTCTACGACATCGACTTTTTCTGCAAGGTAAGTTTGTAGGGTTTTTTTTTTTTAAGGAGGCGGTCGGAATAGTTCTTTAAAACTTTTTGCAAGGAATTTTCCAAACCTAGGACTGAACTCCTTTGAATTCGGGACTATATTTTTTCGTGATCTTGTAGAGAGAGAAAGTGCAATATTTGTTGGCGTTTTGCAAGATATTTCGAGGGAAGGTAAAACTTTTGACGGGCGCCAAGCAACTTTTTTGCTTACTAAAGCGTGCGTATGTAGTGGGTGTGTTTTAAAATAAAACGACAGATAGAGCGAGCCTCATACTTGGTACGGCAAGCTCCAGCTGTATTGAATCGGAACTTTTAAAGTGCATTGATTCGAGTGGGTGGGGCTACAGACCACCCCTCGAAAAGTTTTAAATTGCTTGCAGTGGGAGTGTGTCTTGACAACTAGGCTCATGGATCAGTGGCTGAAGCTTAGTGGGAAAGGGTCCTGATGGCTCGAGCACTGGTTAGGGCATACTGAAAATTGCCAAGTCCTCTTCTAAGATTCGGGAATCACGATGCACGTTTTTCCGTTCTAATTTTCCGCCTCCCTTTTTTTTCCCGGTTTCCAGACCGAAAAATCTTTGAGCAACATGCTGGACAAGAAGGCAGTGGGGAGCCCTGTGGGCACCTCTCCCAGCTCCAATTTCACGCCGGGCTTTCTGCGAAGGCACTCGACCAGCAATCTTCAGGCTCTGGCAAACGGCAACATCAAGTTTCCTAGTGCCTCGCTGTCCGCGCCCTCTAACTTCGGCAGCCTTAAGGAGCCTGGCACCGGGGCAGGCGGCAGCAGTAGCAGCCCCACCACCGCCTTGCTGAACAAGGAGAACAAGTTTCGAGACCGGTCTCTCAGCGAGAATGGCGAACGAAGCCAACACCTCATGCAACAGCTGCACCAGCAGCAAGTGGTGGTTGTGGCAGCGGCTTCGGCGGGAAAGGGCGGCGGCGGCGGCAATGGGGGAGGAGGCGGAGGAAACGGCGGAGGGGGAGCACCGATCAACTCCACACGTTACAAGACGGAGCTCTGTCGGCCATTCGAAGAGAGCGGCTCCTGCAAGTACGGCGAAAAGTGCCAGTTCGCTCACGGCTTCCACGAGCTCCGCAGCCTGACCCGCCACCCCAAATACAAGACAGAGTTGTGCCGCACTTTCCACACCATCGGCTTCTGCCCCTATGGGCCTCGCTGCCATTTCATCCACAACGCGGACGAGCGCCGCCCAGCGCCCGCCAACGGCAGCGCTAATCCGCCAGCGGCCCAGCAGCAACCGCCCCCGCCTCCCCCTCTCCAGCCCAACCCTCCGCCTCACAGCAGCCACCCTTCGCATCACCACCACCACCACCACCCCCCTTCCCTGCACCCCCCGCACGCGGGCAGCACGGGCGACCTCCGCGCCTTCGCCCCCTCCGCCCGAGACCACCCGTTGGGGTCTGGAGGGACCAACGGCACCAACTTCGGCATCCCGCACCCCCGTGGGGGAGGAGACAGGCCCAAACTCCACCACAGCCTCAGCTTCTCCGGTTTCTCCGCCCACCAGCACCATCACCACGGCGGGGCTGTGGCGCAGGGCGGGCTGGAAGCGGCGGCCCTGCTCCTAGAAAGCCCCGGTGGGTCCCGCACCCCGCCGCCACCTTCGGGCGGCTCCTACTGTGACGACTTGGTCGCCTCCTGCGCCAATAACGCCTTCGCCTTCTCGGCCGGCCAGGAGCTGGGTAGCCTTATCGCTCCTCTCACTCTTCACCCGCCGCCGCCGCCACCTTCCGCGCCTCAGCAGGGCTGCTTCGCCAACGCGGCGGCTTTCTACCGCTGCCATCAGCAGCAGAGCGGAGGAGGTGGAGGGAGCTGCTGCCCACCGCCCGGTCCTCCCGCCTCTCCGCCTTTCAGCTTCCAGCCTTTGCGCCGCCTTTCTGAGTCGCCCGTCTTCGACGCCCCTCCGAGTCCTCCGGATTCTCTCTCCGACCGAGAGAGTTACCTGAGCGGCTCCCTCAGTTCCGGCAGCCTCAGCGGATCCGAGTCCCCCGGCCTAGACTCGGGGAGGCGTCTGCCCATTTTCAGCCGCCTCTCGATCTCCGATGACTAAGGAGGTCAGGAGTGGGGAGAGGCTCTTGGAAGCTCCCGTTTTTTTAGGGGGTCCTATTCCCCTGGGCAATCCCAGTTGGGGTAGTTACTCGCTGCCCTTTCTTTCCCGTCTTACTTCCCATCCTATTCATCAGGAGTGGAAACTAGCCAAGTTCGCACAGACTATTTTTGTTGCTCATTTCTTTTTCAGTGTGTGCTTTCCTTTTTTCTTTTTTGAGATAAATCCTTTGATTGCTGAGCAAATTCAGAAAGGAGAAAGCAAAAGAAACTTTTTTTCTTTTTATCAAGATGAACAAAAATCAATTTGCAGACGAGCAAATGATGTCATCAAGAACAATTTTTTTTTAATCTAAAGACTTTGGAAGGATGGGATTTCTTTTTTTTTTTTTCCTCCTCTGCACCCCTCCCAGACTAGTTTAATGTGCATCACCAGCAACAGCCATTCCATTTTCAAGTGTTTGTGGGGAGGATACAAAGGGTAAAGAGTATTTAGCAAACAAATCTATCCAATCATACTCCCTGAGGAATCAGCAATCAATCTGGAGGCCCATGAACTCTGCATTCCAGGTCCCTTCAGATCTATATACAACAAAAAAGAATAAAAGAAGAGTGGAATTTGTTGCCTTTCAATCAGATTTAAAGTAAATATACTAAACATATAAGCTTTTAAAAGAAAAATCCAACATCCTGCCAAGAATATGCCTTGATAACTCTAGTTTTTTATGTATCTATATATATTATAACATGCTAAAACTTCCATTCCAAAGTTTAATATTGGTTCCATTGCCACCACTTAGTGGATGTTTGGCTTAGAACAATTTTTGTTGCTTTATTTGGAAGCATTCAACTGAATTTAGTTTGTAATTGTTGATGAATAACTGCTGATTTTTTAAATTTTTTTTAGCTGAGTTTGCGCAAGTCACTGCACAACTCAATATGAACCTATTTAACTTATTTATTATCTTGTGAAAAGTATACATTGGTAATTTGTTCATACTGTATTTATCGGGTATGATGAAAAGCAATAGATATATATTCTTTTATTATGTTTAAATTATGATTGCCATTATTAATCGGCAAAATGTGGAGTGTGTTCTTTTCACAGTAATATATGCCTTTTTGTAACTTCACTTGGTTATTTTATTGTAAATGAGTAAAATTCTTAATTTAAGAGATTGTATGTAATATTTATTTCATTAATTTCTTTCCTTGTTTACGTAAATTGAAAAATTGCATTGGCTTTTTTTTTTTTTTACAGAATCTGACTCAATGCTGTGGAAGTAGTTTGAGAAATTTCATTGGTTTTTTTTAAGAATGTACAATGGTTGTAACCCGTCCAAACTTAAACCTACTTCACAATCAATCCAAATTTAAAGTGGCAAACCTAATTCTTAAAATTAACCAAAATGTATTTCTGTTGCCTAACTTCACCAATCACACTGTGATAGTTTCAGAGTATGTAGCAATAAAAGGGGTAGGGGTAGGGGTGGGGTCCCAGTATTACGTTTCACAGTGCCTTTTGTAAGGGTCCATGCTTGCCTTAAAAATCTTCCTCAACCAAATGAGTATTTTTTCTTAATGCTTGAGAATTTGAATGTAGGGCTGGGTTTTTATCTACAAGAAATTGTACCACTCATTTTTATTATGGAGGCCACCTTTTGGATCTGAACCTCTTTCAGTGTACAAGTTTATATCTTTATTAAGATTCCAACACATGTAACTTTTTGTTGTGTAGGAAATCAGGAGTTATCCAAATCTTCTCTGGGTGATGAATGAATGAGCAGTATCTCTTTAAATGTACATAGGTACAGGTTCACCACTATGTACTCTTTGGACTACTTTAACAGAAGTATGTTTTGAATGTAACTAGAAGATAAGTCAATTTGAGTTGTAATATATTTTGGAGAGTCAGTTCATTACAAATTCGAAGTGTGAGACTGTAAACTTTGTACTGTAAATGTTTTGTAGTTCTCCCAATAAAACTTTTGAGGAAAAAAATTCCCAAGCTATTAAAGCCATGTCTACAAGGTGCTGCTTCTTTATTAGTTTTCCCCTGCCAATATGGGTATCTAGCTACATATTAATCTAATTTTGAACTGCAGAATTGCTCCATTTCAACTGGAAGCCTGCCAAGGGCAATAAGCTGTTCCAGAAGGTTCCAAAGTACTGCAAAAAGACACAATCTTATACACCACTGGGAGGGAAGGAGGGAGGGAGAAAAGAAGATAGCATTTTTTGGTAGATAATCATTTCCCCAGAGATTTGTCATGTTTACAAATTAGCAGGAAATGGTAAAGGGTAATACAAAAACAGAAATGGCTGATCCTAGCTTTTTTTTTTAAACAATGGACTGCAACATCTTGCATCATAGGGTGGTTCTTGCTATTTATCTACAGTGTTTTTCAAACGGCAACTTTTTTTAGATGTGAGGACTTTCATCTTCCAGAATTCCCCTGCCAATATATAGGAATTAAAGTCCATACATCCTTAAAGTTGCCAAATTTCAAAATTTGGTTGATCCACATCAACTTTGACATAATGCCAGGAACCTGGTGCCATCTTCTCACCATTGCCCATCTTCAGGAAGAGCCCTATACATTACATTATTTGTGCTCCGTGTATGGCTACCTTTTCCCTTCATAATCCTAACTTCCCATTTTTCCCATTGGTGGAGAAATAGCCCAATCTCCTAGCTATAGAATTCTTGGGTATAGAACCCTGCTTTAAAGCAGAGTCCCCAAATGGTCAGTAAATAAATCCTTGAGAGTCAATTGGAAAATCTTAGTACTATTACATAAGTAGTATTAAATTATTTTTATATACGTTTGGTAATTGGAATAATCCAAAACCTCATGAAGAGTTGATAAGCTGAAGAGTGCTTTAAGAAGAGGTTTGGATCTCTGCTTTAAAGGTTTTTACCTTAAAATTAAGTTCTATATATAAAAGGGAACATAGTGATATATTTAATGTCTTCTGTATCTTTTAAAATGCAAATGCAAAGTAGGAGAATGAATTCAAGTTCTGCCTTAGCCCTGAAAGTCAGCTGGGTGACCTTGGTTAGTCACTCTCAGCCCAATTCACCTTAAAGGGTGATGGTGGGAAAATAGGAGGAATGTGTATTCGCTGCCTTGAGTTATTTGTAAAAAATAACAGGCATGATATAAATAAATAAGTAATACTAAATAGAATTAACTTGTTCTAAGAAACTGGTAGCCACCTCTAATATTTTTAGAGGTCAATTTTTTGTCATGATAAATATTTAAATGATTTCAAGACATGTTTTGTTTTAATTATACACAAAGTTTGTGGTTAATACAACTTATTTGAGCTGTGAGGTTGACTTCTATAAATACTAGTTAGAATGTAGTACCGCTGCCAAATGCTGATCAGCCAAAGTTTAGACTGAATTAGTATCTAAATATTCACGGATTATCTTCACAATATTCACAAAATCAGTTCCCATTGTTTCACTCGGTGATTTTTTTTTTGCTATGGTTTTTATAAGTACGTGTTTGGTGACTCAGTGGTTTTTATGGTAACCTTTGTTAGGAAAGAAAAACCTGAGAAAGAAACAAGGACTTTTAAGTGTAACCTGATGGGTTGGTGGTATTTGTCAGCTAGAAGTGGCTGTCCTTGTTTGTACCTTTGAACATTCTCAAATATGCATTATTTGCAAAACTCTTGTCATCTCTTACAGGCCTACGTGACCTGTGGCCTACCAATTTGGAACAGTCAGCCATGCCGTGAGACTGGTTTGCTGCTGCTATGTGACTACACTGATTTTGATTTGCACACCTTTTTTTTTAAATGAGCAAAGTGATGCTTTTCTTACTTGCCCGGTGCACTAAGTTTCTTCAATTAATTTTTAGCTTATGTTTCTTTCATATTAAATTTATATTTTCAAAAGCCTTCCCTAACCTAGATATGCTGATTCAAGTTCCTATAATACCAAGTTATTTGACCTTTTTCATTAACTTGTGGGAATCAAGGATGGGCCAAATTGGGGAAGGCTGCTTTACCACAACCATGCAAGATTATTGTAACATAAACAAAGGATGAAAAATCAGGAAGTAACAAGGCTTAACACTAACTGGCAGTCTGGCAAGAATGAAAGTCTTGATTTAATACCAGGCTGGTACATTAAGTATAGTTTTAAAAACTCTTTAAACACTTTTAAACCCGCCCCCTCCCCAAAAAAGAGGTAGTCAAATAATGCTGAAATATATTATCTCCTATCTTTCATTCCTTTCTTGTCTTTTTACTGATGAATTGGCTTTGGTGTGAATCATAGCAGTATAGTTCAGCATTTCCTGATTGTGATACAAAGCCTGAGAAGCAGCTATTTCATTTTATATGCTAGCTTTCAGTTATTTTCATAACTTATCAGCAGCTTAAAGTATCTTTAGAACCAATTCTATTTTAAATCATTTCTTTTACAAATCCTTTTTCATTTATATGCGCGCACACACAGCTCATAGCCACACAAAATCTCAGAATGTGTGTTCCATAGACATTCCTGAAAATAAATAAGATAATGTTTAGCTTTGCATATTTAGTTTTCCAATTTCCCATTACAAAATATTAATGATGGAGCTTGATCATATTAATATCTGAAGACTATACAGCCTGCCCCATACTATTCCTGAAGAATAGTATGATAGTTTTGTTCTTTTAGGTTCTAACTATAAGAAACAAAGTAAAATTAAGAGGATCCACCTATTGGATCAGAGCTAATTCCTCCACTAAACCTGTAGAACTAACTTGGACTGAAGTCCTGCCTTTAAAACCAAAGGATTGTCCCAGCTTGAGTATATAAAACTCATTAGAGAGTCACTAAAAATATTAAATCTCTTTTATAATTTGCCTTACTTTTCAAAGCCTAGAAGCGGTTATTGTACTCTGTTCCAGTTTCTTCTTTCCCTTCTTTTACATGAATGTAAGTGGTTTAAAGGATACAGGCCTTGGAAAAGCATGTTCAACTTTCTTTCTCAAGCAAGCATGAAAAGGAAACACAACTATAGTCAGATACTATATGTTTTTTTCTCCTTTTAGACTTCTTCAAAGAAAGAAGGAAAGAAGAAGAAAAACAACTCAATGCAGCCAAACCTCATTTCGTGGAAAGTCTTTTGGCTTTGCGTTTTGGCTAATCGCACACATGGGCCAGACTTTGTGCTGAAGTTATATTAGTTTGTTCTGTCTTAAGTGCTGAAAACTTGGAATGCAGCAGCTGTGTTGGATCTTGGCTAACTATTTGTGAGTTGCAGAACTGGACTTAAAAAAAATACTAAATCCATTTCTGTTCTTCAAAGTTTCTGAATAGAAAGTTTTCAGTAGATCGAAGGCAAATGTGTTCTTGCCTTCAGTTATAATAGGATGGCTTATTTATTTCTGACCAAAACTATTTCCTTTTAGCTACTATTTTAAATAGTGAATTATAGACTCAGCATTCAATCTGAAAACAGCCTGTTTTATCCTAACAGGTCTATGTACTTTCCTCTTCTAATCATATTAAAATACAAAGCATTTATGTTATATTTTTTTCTATAATCTTATTAGCTAAAGCCATAAAATTGCCATATATTGATTCAAACTATTAACCTGGATGATAACAAAGCTCTGATTAAATGAGTGCAATGTTCTTGTTTTTATTCCATAAGAGATCATAGATGATCCTTGGGCTTGTCTACTTCTGTTCTTTAGCTCAGTTGCTTCCATTTTAAGTGTTAATAGTTTGGTGCTATTTAATTCTGAACTTTGTAATTTTACCTTATTGATTGTTGAATCTAAACACATTTTAATATTTGAGCATTTGTTCAGTATTTGAGAGCCAGTTTGGTCCAGTAGTTAAGGCACCAGGCTAGAAAGTGGGAGACCATGAGTTTAGGTCCTGCCTTAGCCATGAAAGCCAACTGGGTGATTTTGGGTCAGTTACTCTCTTTCTCAGCTCAGCCCACCTCAGAGGGTTGTTGTTGTTACAGGGAAAATAGGAGGAGAAAATGTGTTGGATATGTTTCCCACCTTGAATTATTTGTAAAAAGGTGGTATACAAATTATTTAATTATATATATAGATAAATAAAATAATGCAAATGATACATGAACATTCAGAGAAATTATTTAAGGGGAGAGCAAAGCTACTGTACAGGTAGTCTTCAACTTATGGCCACAATTGAGCCCAACATTTCTGTTGTTAAGTGAGTTTTGCCCCATTTTATGACTTTTTTTGCCACAATTTTGCAAGTGAATCACTGCAGATGTTAAGTTAGTAACACAGTTGTTAACTGAATCTGTAACTTTGAACAGTCACTAAATGAACTGTTGTAAGTTGAGGACTACCCGTATAGGATAAGATGACTTGGGAATTGTTTTCCTGCTATTTGTGCTTTCTTGCTAAGGGTCATATTCCATGAAAGAAATAATGTGCATCACTGTTATATTGGATCCTACCTTTTATATAAGGTTAATAAATTTACCCTGTCAGCAAATGAGCTCTTCAGTTCATCTGAACTAATGCTGAAAACAATAGCTAGAAGTAGTTGTTTAGGATTTCCCACTGGACTCTTTCTCAGTTCTACATGGGATTGATTGATTGATTATGTCCCATCAAATTGTTTTCAGTTCCTAGCGACCACATAGATTTTTTTCCACTATGATCTCGCTAACCTGTTTTTTCATAGCTTCCAATGGTACACTCATCACTACTGTAACTGAGTCCATCCATTGTTCTACAGGTCATCCTTCCCTTTTCTTTACTTTTACCTTTCCCAGTGACATAGATGTCTGGTAACTGAGCAGCCAGAGCAAAAGATCTTTCAACGTGGCTATAGCCAATGATGTTGAGAAATTGAAATACATATGTTTCAGTGGCTAAATCTGAGAATTCCAGCTCCAGTAACCTTGGCCTGCTCAACCTTGGTTGACCTCCAAAAAAAGCAAAGTAAGGTTAGCTATGGTTAATACCTCAGTGGAAAGCACCAGATAATGCGTATAGTGTATAAAATTGGATAATTTTATGTACTAGGTGGAGA